TTGTGTAGGTAAATGTCTGCCACAGTTTATCATTGAAATATGCGAATATCATATTGAAGTTGATCTGGTATGACTAAAATTTTATCATAGCTTAACACTAGACTAATTTTTATTGTTTCTGTTGCTAAATAATGGTGGTCATATATAGATCTGAGCCCTACAGGCTAAAATCAGTTTGAATTAACATTTTGATTATTTCAGTATGTTTGTATTTTTAACAAGTTGTTCGGGTTTGTTAAGCAATGGTGTGACAGGTTGACCTTTCATGATGGATTCCAGGAGAGAAATCATACCTTCATTGGAAAGCTAACTCAAGGAAATGGAAAGCTTCAGTCTAAGGGTCAGTTTTTGACTTCCTAACCTGTGAGGGGAAACCTAATGTGATTTTAAACATTTTGTTTCGGAAATAACTTGTAAAATACTCCTGGGAGACTTGCATTTGGACAGTTATAGCCTAAAAGGCAAAAATAGACATGAACACAAACTTAACAAATTGCAGGAGTTGCTCATGTGCAGGCTAATCATAGGTAACGGCTTTCAAGGTAAGGCTTTAGGGCATGTTAGAAGAAGACAATGTATCACTTAAAAAATCACCTCAAAGGAATCGTTCACTACAACTGAATGCTTCTCAAGTTGAAACAAAGGACCTAATTTCTTATTTCTGTTGTTTATATAAAAGCTGAAATCATATTTAGCCCTAATTCACAGGAATCAAAATAGTGTGCCACTTTATACTTTGCAGTTCAGTTTTATGACACTTGAAAACTTTGTTCTGATTTCTGCCTTGTAGAATTATAAAAAGGTTTTATTTGTTATAGCTCTCGTTCTAGCTGCAGATAAAATAATGCTCGTTAGACTAAGAGCAAGGATGAGATGTAATTTCTGAAAAGTGGCATTTGAGATGTTCACAGTATTTCTGTGTATTCAGCATAGAAAAGTAAGGAAACAACAAACAAAGATCACTTACTTTTCACAGTAGAAACTGTGAAATGACACATGTATGACTTCCTAGCCTTGCCTTCCAAGTGCAAGATAGATTCTTCTAAAAGCTCTTCAAGTGCATTGGTGTGACTTTCAAATGGAAAACCAAAGGACAATCCTTCAGGCACTATTCTAGAGAGATCAGTTGACAAATAAATACGCAAAAATGTTGTTCTCCTGTAAATCCAAAATCAGACAACAGAAGTCAGTAGTGTCAAATTAGAGACAGAAGGATGAATTGGGTTCTGATCAAGGAATTGTTCCCTAATGGATGAGTTTAGACAACTGTTTTAGTTGTAAAATAATGTGCCATCACTAACAGGTTAACGTTTGAGGGGGTTTCATTGTAATGCCTGTTTGGAATGACAGTCATTATGATATAATTTTACACCACATTTTCAGAGGTATAAGAATCTGCAGGTGCAACGGGGTAGTGGAGAACTGGGGCCTCTTTCATCCTTAGGTGATAAGCATGTATGGTTCCTGCACTCTTCTGCTCTGAGAAGGAGCCTGCATAGTTCCAATATCAGAGGGCCAGTACTCTGCTCTGTTCAGAGGAGGTCATTCTGAGCCTCACTCGTGTCTAAAGAGTAACGATGGATATTAAGACAATAAAGATAAATACACATATGTGGGTGGGCAAAAGAAAGATAGTGGCATAAAGTCCCAACTGAAAAGGCTTTAAAGCCCTAATTTCTGGTTTCCTGCTCATCACGCTGGCCACAGGCTGCATCCCACAGTTGCAGAGTGGCAGTTACACAAGAACCACAGAAGGTGACAACAGAGCGGCAGTGTTGTGCTGGCTGGGGTGTCCACATATGGTGACACCTAGCACCCGCTTTGCATGGTTTCGCACCAGATACTTGTGTTTTGAGAAAGAGCAGGGGGGAGGGAAGGGAGATGCAACTGTATGTTTTCTGTGTTAATATGGGTACCACTCAAAAGATACGATGGACTCTGGGCAGGAGTTGAGATCGCGTCCACATCATTCAGCATGTCAGACTATTTCTCTGAAAAGGGAGTTTTGGACTATGTTGTCCGGAAGTCAGGCATTGTCAGGCATCCACAGGCCTTGTTTGAAAGCTCTGCAGATCTTATTTTGAACATGTTTGTTTTAAATAAGACAGTGAGTAAATTCCTATACTTAGCAGCTGACTAGGCCCTCATATGCCTAATTACATTCCAATGATTACTTCCTTTACAATTATTGGAAGTACTCATATAATAAAGTTAGCATATGTCCATCTTCAAGAGTAGGGCTTAAATATCACTACATTGTTCATTTCTCTTCCCAACTGTTCCCTCATTATTCAAGCTAAATAATATGAATGCGTAGAAAAAACCAAAGTAGTCAAGAAATTAAGTTTTATAACAAGAATCACACCAGTTACTGGTTTATAGAGGAGGAAAAGGAAAGGGGCGGGGGGGGAGGAGGAGGAGGGAAACTTAGCTGCTGATCCAAAAACCTATAACCATGGTGCTGTCGCTGCCAGTGTTTCATTCTTTCCAAATGTGCCTTTTCTGATTTTGATAAACGCAAATCTTGAAACAGGGTGGTTGTATTTTCCCTTTAAAGAAAAGAGATCCTATTTTTTTAGAAGTTCTAGAACTTCAGTTTTCAGGAAAATAAATTATTTGCAGCATCCAGTGCAAAAAAAAAATGCTTTTTAAAGTACTTCCTGTTGCCTCTGTCCTAGCTCATCTTTCTTGTTATTCCTTAGAAATGTATAAGCATCCTCTGTTTAGATCCACTTTTATTTCCACTAGTAGTTTGTGGAAAAATCTGCAGTATTTCTACAGTTAAAAACTATATTTCTGAGCTACAGATTTTAAAATAAAGTTATTTTTATACCTTTGAACAATGAACTTCCATTCTGCAGAATGTATTTTTGAGTGCTATAAAGTTTAAAAGGGTCAAATATGCAGTGTGTGGAAAAGCAGTAAGTTGCAAGTGAGTGGAACTGTGCAGCTTAAAGTACAGATTCATTCTGTTGGATGCAGTTTCTGAATGTTATGGATTATGATGAAATGCTGTGTTGGATATTATGGATTAGAATGAGAAGTATGTTGATTAGGTAACAACAGAGTGGAACTTCAACGGTTAAGTGCCATCTTTTTGGTGCCTAGCCTTAGAAAAACCATAGAGCCCTATCTGCTTATGTAGAGATTAACAATCTGTGCTGAGAGCCCCCTTCTATTGTGGTGACAGAGGTCGATCCATTGGAAGGTTATTGCTCAACCACCAGTCATCTACGCAGTTCGTAAGTATGATAATATGGAATTGCCAAGAATTTTATAGCTATGAATGTGCATTCATATAAATAACACCCGAGGTTATGTCTCTCTAATGAAGGCATGTGGAGACAAGGCACACAAATATTTAGGTGTTGGCTTACTGTAGTCATGCAGCTTCTTTAACACGAAAGAGACACGTCTTTTCATAAAATATTTTAGAAGTGCTTTTCTTCTGAGGTGCTATGTGAATAAGAAAAAAACAAGTAAGTGCACAGGGGTAGCCCAAGTTCTCATAATGAAATAGGAGATGAGAAGACGGTAGAGCTGAGCTATGAAAAATTACGGAGAATTCAGAAAATTGGTGCTGCTTGAAAAATGACTCTTTTTTACTGATGTTGTTGCTGGAAGGTGAGCAGGGGCCCAAGGAAATTAAAGAGATTTTCATGGATTCCTGCTTTCTAAGAAGATTTTGATGCTGCCAGTTGAATTGTAACGGTGAGGCAGTTGCTATGAGCAGCCTGCGTCAAAAGAGTAGGTGCATTTGGCATTATTTATACTAGGGAGACTTACAGCCTGGCTGATAATTTGGAAGGTAAGGGGAGGAGGAGATATTTGTAACCTTCTGAAGGGCAGACATGACTTCTGGGTTCACGATGCTTCTTCAGTTCCTGAGGTCACAACTTGATAAGACTGGGGATAAGGAACAGATAACAGCCTGCTGTTTTTAGGCTCTGGTTTGGCAATTACACATGTTCCAACAGCACATACATAATTATGAGCATAGAAGTAAAGATTCTCTGTGTGTGTGTTCATCCTGTTTGCTCAGTGCATCATCAGTTGATTCGGTATTTTCTTAATTGTGAGTTTCATATAGATTTGCTGTTCTTGAGATTTGAAGGAGTGCATGTATGAAGTTGCTAAACTCCCCCAAAATGGAGTTTTAACTGTCATTTATCATCATGGTACCAGAGGAATAAAGGCAAGCACATTTGAGAACAGTTTGAAATAGGGCGTTTGGGAGAATTATAGGAACTAAGCTGACTTCTAATCCAGGAACATGATAGGAATTGTAATGAGAACAGTATTAGCGGATACGTGGAAAATATGGAGCTTGCAAAGGGACATCACGCCTCTTGGAATTCTTTTAACCAGGTAACAAGCCTGTAAAGATGAGTCAGTTGTCACAACCTCCTTGGATTTTTCAAGTTGCTTTGAGCCCTTGAGAACTTAAACTGGTATGCAATAAAGACAAGATCCTTTTGTAGATTAAGAGCTGGCTGAAGAAAAGGAAGAAAATGGGAGGAACACATATATTTCACAGAGAGAGATCCCAGAGGGATGTATGCTGTTTGCCATGTTTAAAGACCCAGGAAGGGATGTGAGTATTAGGGAGATAGTGTTTGCTGCCTCTATAAAATTATTTGCGGGTCAAAACTAAAGCTGGCTGTAAAGAAAAGTTTTGCTATATAAAAGACTGAGAAATAAAATAGCAAGACTAAGGTCTGTACTGTACAAAGCAATATGCTTGAGCTAAGAAATGGACTCTGAATTAATTTGTTCCCTTCAGGATCTTGGTCTTCCTGTGGTAAGTTCGCTGTCATCTCAGTGTTTAGTAGCAGTCAAAAAGGCAATTAGAAAATTAGGACTTATGAATGGAATACCATATGAAACAGAGTGTATAATTATGCTACTGCTGTAAGTCCATGTCTTTGCTGCATCTTGAATGTTGTGTGGTGTTCTGACAATTCTGTCTCAAAAGGCATATAGTGAAATGATAAAAGTACAAAGAATGCCCAAAGTCATCAATGCGCTCGCCCATTTCTTCCATTCTTAGCGTTATCTTTTCAGTCAGAGCTTGAAAATTCTCTTGCAGCTGATGCAGCAGATTCTCCGCCAGCTGCGAGAGAAACGTATAATGATTTCTATTTGATATGTGAATTGGACAAGGAGTCTTCTGTGTGAAAACATATGATTGAAGTGGGGTATGACAGAAGTTTGTAAAATCATTAATAAGATGACTAAGGAATGTTCATTCACTTATGATCGTATAACACAGTGAAGTTACTGGGCAGGGGAGTTTGAAGCAGAAAGTCCCTTTTCACACAGTGCACAATTTAATTGCATATCTTGTTTCCACAGTTGCTGTAGAGGCCAATAATATAAATATAAGTGTAAATTAAATGATATAAATTAGAAACTGTCAATAAATACAGTGGTCTGACAAACAAAGTCCATAATCTGCAGGGTACCAGCAGGAAAGTCTAAGAGAAAGAGCAGCACTCTATTATACACTCT